TTTTTCCGCTCTGACAAGTTGAGCATGCTTGGTTGCGTCTTTTTCAAGGAATCAGCTAGAACTGTTACTGTTTTATGCTCACGTCGAGATTAGGACGCTAATCAATGTTTCCCACGGTCTGGACTTCCCGATCGCGCTAATAAGACCTAATTGTTTGATGCACTATTAATCAGCTTTACAATGCATGTGATGTGGACTCTGTGGAATATTGTGGGCAGTGTGAACATAGTAGAGAGTGTGGACTCGTAGGACTGTGTGGAAAACATAGAGTGGTTATTTRTTTGTATACAGTTTGCGTGGCTACTAATAAACTCTCTCAAGCATCTTCAAGATTCATGTCTAAAATGAAGAGAGGCGCACGACAGAAAAGGACTTTCAGAGGCTTTCTCCGTGCTATCTTCAGGCAAGTCARTAAACTTTAACGACATCTTAAAACTAATTCCTAATATTAAGTGTAAAAATTAAGTGCATCTCTTAATTTTGACGTTACGCAGCCGATGAAAAACATTGCGCATTGCTGCTCCTCGTTTTTCGCCTCAGTTATGACAATTTTTCTTCCCGAGCCCGAATGAAACTTGTCGAAGCTTATACTTTTTTTACCATCATTTCTCGCTCCAATACCGGACGGTTTCGGGACTGTTTTTAGCTCTTATTAACATAGGGTGCTTTCCATTTAAAGGCAGAACTGGCCGGCCAGTCCGCTCTTTTTAGAGGTATATAATGCTTTTTGTCAACATTTTTCAGTTATTTTGAGGGAATGGATAGAATTTGAAAATTTGAATTTCCCAACTAAATACAAATGATATATAATGACATTTTCTCTGGGTCTGGCCAGGCAGTTCTGACAAATGGAAAGCGCACCTAGATTTGTCTATGTAGACAAAGCAAGCTCGGTTAATAAGAGTTTTATTGTATGACCACATTTTTATTGGTTAAAAAGTAATTCAAAAATAACACTGTATGAACATAAAATTTTAATAATAGTAATAATAGTAATAGTATCAAAATGAATTTCAGTGGTTTTTGTACTTTCCTTTATTTTTACGTTTAAGTTTCACAACATTCGCAAAAAAATCATTGAGAGGAATGTAGCGCGCGGTCTCAACATCAACCAATCAGATCACTCCATTTCTCGCGTCCAGGCTCTAAAATACACGGTCATATGAYAGATACGATATAGAAATGAAAGAAAGTTATAGTGACCCTTAGGAATAAATTCAGACAAATTAATTTCCGACCTCGCTGGGATTCGAACCCACGGCCTCCGACCAATTACAGACCGAGCGCAGCGAGCTCTGCGCGCTCTGCTCTTCTCTTCTCTGCTAATGGGATCGTGGGCGATTCAAGGTTTGTTACTCCACTACACCCTGTCAGTATTCGTTAATTCATGGTTGGCGTGTCCTTCAGTAAGGATGCATATTTATTTTAATGAATTCTGACAACTGTCGTCTTTCAACTCAGATTAAACACCGGAAGTGCCACACTTGCAACAGTTGAAATGTCGAAAGATAGAAAACGAAAAGATTCTTCGAAATCGAAGAGGAAAAAAAGCAAGAACCTCAGTCAGAAAGGAAATGAGACGTCAGCGCCGCCATTACTGAAATACGTTGATGGTAATATCATAGGGAAAGACACTGTCTTTGAAGGACCTTATGGCAAAAGAAGAGGTATCTTGCTTGTTTAGTTGCCAGCCTGTCTTCCTGCTTGCCTACCTGCTTTTTGTGTGCATGGTTGGTTGGTTGGTTGGTTGGTTGGTTGGTTGGTTGGTTGGTCTGTCGGTCGGTCGGTCGGTCGGTCGGTCGGTCGGTCGGTCGGTCGGTCGGT